TCCAGCTGGAATTGAACCGTCGACCTTGTCTGTGGAGGGAGGGGCGCCTAGACCACTAGGCTACGGGACCCCATCCCCCATCTATTTTTTTGTTGCACAAAAGTATATACATTGTAGCTTAGCAAAAAAATCTTCCAAGCTAATGAACTATATTCTGTATTGACATAATAACTATTTACTACTCCTAAGTATTAGATTAATTAGATTGGTAGAGTACTATTACATAGCCAAAGAGCATTGTGCTAATTTCTGATTGAGAAATATAGAAATAAAATTATTATTAGCTCTACAATCCTGTCTAAGAAAGCTACTAAATGTACCAATAAAATTGTTCAGACTATCAGATGCGTCTATAATCATCAAAGGAAATATATTATTATTATAGATAATTTTATCTTCTAATTCAGTTTCAATATTAGAAAAATTATTAGATGATTCTATTTCAGTATAATCTGAATCATAATATTCACTTAGACCAATATATTTATGTTTATATTTGAAAAACTTGGTTATTATAACTTTTCTATCTGAATTAATCTTAGTAAAACTAGGAAATACTAATTTATAGAATATATATAATGAAGGAAATAGTATATTAAAATCAATTCATATATAATAAAGTCTTTCTCTTTATTATTTTTCCAATATTTTGCATCTTATTTATTAATACTATATTTCAACCCAGTTAGCTATAAATTATCTAAAACCAAATCATATTTAGGCTTGTCAACAACTACAAAAGTTGCTATATCCATTCCAAATATGAAGAGAGTTTTAATCTATTAAATATATTTGGCAAAGAAACAAAAGCATTTTTTTTATAAACATATCCTCTTATGATCACTTTTTTGCCAACATTTGTTTTATTAATGCCAGGTTCAATTACTGTAAGATATCTTAAACCAAATTTCCAAGAAATATATAAATCTATTTTTTTAGCAAGAGATGGTTGTATATCAGAATCCCGACACACAAAATCCCGACACACAAAATCCCGGCAACAAAATCTCAATACACAAAATCCCGACAAATTAAATTCCTAATTTTAA